AAGTTGGAATCGTTCAGGCAATTCGCATTTTGGCTCTTTATTTCATAAACTCTTATAAATATGAAGATATGGGTTTTTAATAATGCTTTAATAAACTGATGTTGATGTACCTTTTAGTTCATTTGATAAGGTGAGTGGAAAGGACTAGTAAATTGGCTTCACTGGAAGCAGAAGATTATTTTGGAGTTTGGGCTGTAGTTCTTAAGTCTTTTGCTGACCGATTCGCGACCTTGATGGATCAGCGCTGAGCCATTGCTTGTAATGTGATCAACATAGTCAAAGTAGGAAACCGTGCTGATCGGAAAGTCAAAGGAACTAGGAGTATAAACGTGGTCGGCTGCACTTGCTTTGCCAAACGAGCTGAAGGGTATGCTAGCCCTAAAAGCTCTAAGATGTCAATACCGAATTATCTTTTAGATAAGAAAAGTAACTGGGTCACGATGAATCTCCTAGGATAAAATTGTTAGGTAGACTTTCTTTTAATATGAAAGTGCATAAAGCAGAGATCCGAAGGCTGATCTTACTTTAATACGACCTCCAGGTTGACGAAGTCCAAGACATCCTCCCTCGTTTTGGGGGAAAACGTGCTGAGCTTTCGTCTATAATATAAAGGACATCCTTAGAACTGTAATTCATTCTTGTAAAAGCCTTACGTTAACGCTTGGTCTAAAATACTGTTCGGCTCTATCTTACCTCTTTTGTGTACTCATAAATCAAAAGCGAAAATGTAAGGGCATAGATGGAGATGTAATAGTTTGGCTTATCTTTCCCATTGGTTATGCTACTTATACTTGAGTATGTGTTGACGTTTATACGTAATACCGGTCCTAAATAAGAGTAATCAAAAAGGCCCTATATCAAATTATGGTCACCAATACTTAATTACCCAAGAAAAAGGTCCTACCGAGATTGGCTAAGTCCGTAAGCAACCTTGGTTGAAATAATGAGATATTAGCTTGTAAGCCTTTAAATCAGGTTACGAAACCACCTGTCCTAACCTCCAAATTTAGGGTCATTAACGTTTAACAATACAAGGAAATACATAACTTGGGCTACTTAATTTCTTACGTCTGCTTAATCTGCATGCTGGACGATTGTGAGCGAAGTTAGAATAATCACTAGGCTGACAGGGGGAGTCGCCTTTGGATTGCTGCTTAGCACTTTTTCTCTTCAATCTTTCCATCAAATGTAAGTAGTTCTCATTCAACGTATTCCTCAGACTGAATGTTGCATTAAAGCCAAACAGCTGCAGTACAACCGGAATCAGCCCTTGTCATCTGATGAGATCGACCTTAGAATCTCTTCATTATGCAATTTTACACAGAATGAAAAACTTTCCAACAAAAACATGATTATTACCACTTACCTTAGGCACAAATTGTCTATATCTAATTCTAATTTCAAATTTTATAAGCTTTTTATCATATATCCGCCTAGTCATCCTATCTGTGACCTCTTCTAAGCCTTCAGCCATACCCCCAACTTGAGAGAATCCACATCAGTCAGTACCTGAGAAAGGTATTATCTAAGCCTAATTTTGGCCCTAATTAGTAGTCAGTGTAGCCTGTTAATGCTTCCTTTGAGCCTGGTTATAACCAAATCACACGATGTCTGATATAGTTCCCAATTCGTCGACTTAGATCAAAACTTCTACCGAGAAAACCACATACAGGAACAACATTATGAGAAATACGAATTTTTAAAAATATACTTGCATTAATTTGCTGAGTAATAGCTTTTTTGGCTATAGTGTAGCGAAAATATAACAAGATGTTGAATCATAAGTAGATCGTAGATATGAAGAGTAACTGGGTTTCGATGACTCTTAAAATAGTATTGTTGAGAAGACTTTTATTTTGTAAAAAGTTCGTGATGGAGAGATGCTTTGGTCTCACCAGAAGACTACGGCCGATTCCCACTCAAAACAACGTAAATCTGAACCTATTAAAATCAAACAGCTGCAGTTCGAGAAACGGCCGTCTTCTGGTGAGATCGACTTAGGAAACTCTTCATCGAACACTTTTATGCAAAATGAAAATCCCCCTAATTATTTTATCTTATGAGATAAATAGAAATCCAGTTACTCTTCGCATAAGCTTAAAGAGCCAAAAAGTTTATTTTTAAGTATCTTTATTAGCGCGTTGGTATTTTTAATTACGTTTATATTAAAGACATTCTCAGCTGTTCCATTGGCCCTTTAATTTATTTTGTTTATTCTCTATTTCATCCTCTTACACAAACTATCTTATAGCCCCCTTCAGCTTGGTGTCGTACGCGTTAATTGTGTTGACTGCTTAGATCGGACTAATACGGGCCAATTCGTTGTTGGTCGATTGGCTCTTGCTCATCAACTCTATGCCCTTGGTCTTCTACCACAACCTAAATTGATCAACCAGTCACATATTGATCGTCTTCTTCAGGTGATCATCCTTGATACCATGTTTATTAAGTTCTAATAGCTACTTTTTTAGCTTAAATTATGTTTATGTGAATATATGAAGACCAAGATGTTATGGCCTCTGGTGTGGTCGCAGTCTCCTTTCAATTAATTGGCTGGTCCGAGATGGAGAAGATGCTCTCGCGAGTGGGGTTGTGAGCCTAAACGGGCAGAAGTGGGTTGTGTCGCAACTTGGTCTTGTTTTCAGGGAGACTATGTAGAACGCACCTAGTCCGAAGTCGTCTGCCATAGTATTTGTCATGATTCCCAGCATCTGACAGTGGACTTGATG